GGGAAAAATAGAGCTGGGGAGTTTGAGAATTCAAACCCATGATAATTTGAGCTTGATTGGGTCATATATCTTCTCTGCTTTCTGGGCATCTTTGAAGTATGCTTTTTCTTTTCAATGTTTTATTGACAATTCTGCTGTTTAAAAGGTATTGAACATGCATTCTCTTGCTTTGCAGTATAAAATTCTTTGTGGTATGCTCTCTTGTTGGATTGGTGATACTTCTTCCAGTAAATTATAGTGGCGACGGTCTTACCGCTATAAGCCACCATTCCTTGGATTCTTTCACAATATCTAACATTAGTCCAGGTTCCAACAGGTGAGAGACCGTCTTAACTTTGCAAATTAGTCCATTGTGTGATATGTATTATAAAAAATAGAAATAAAAGTAGTGTGTGATGCAAATTTGTGGCTATAGTTGTTGATTCCAGTTCTTTCTCCAACCAAGAGAATTGAAATTGTTGTGATGTGACTTTTTTTTTTCATTTTTGTTCTTGAAATGTTTTTGATTTTGTTGCTTCTTGAACATTATCTGGACTGTTGATATAAACACTGACTCCCTAGCCTGCTCTCTAGAGAAATCGTTGAAGACTGTAGAATATTTTTTGGTTAAATAACTGAATTGCACCATCTATAAAAGGGAATATGGCCACCTGTGTTGTGTAGGAGATGGAGAAAAAGATATTTTGATATGTGGGAAACAGGAGAGCCCCCTGAGAGAAGAGAGGTGAGTGTCATGTGTATTAGTCTATTAGACTTGTAGAATTATGGTATTGAAGTTTTTGTGCCCCTTGTTTTCATCAACAAATACATTTTTTCATAGTCCACTAGTTGGCTTACCTTTTTTAAGAAAAAGTCATCTTATGAAAATCATATTAGCAAACCCTTCGACATAGAAATTTGTGGTGTCATTTTTGTAGATGTACTAATCTAAAGGCTGGCTGTGTAGTCCCTAGAAACATTAGGAATCAAATATCAAGAATGGAAACACAGGCATGCTACTTTTCGCGTGGTTCATATATTTAAGTTGTGCAATGATACATATGAAGAATTATAATACTGGATCACTTAGAAATCTGTTTGAACATTTCTGCTTCTCATCCCTTCTAACTTCACTTCGACATGCTGAACATACAGGACTACTTCCATGCTATTAGAGCAAACTAGTCAAATTACTGTTGGATATGCAGATTGCATGTTTGAATAGTTAACATTTGAGTCTCCAACAATTATTCCACTAATTACGTATCCAATTTGACCTATGGACGAATACGCAAGCATTCGTTTAATGCTTGCTTGAGTATTAGCAATGAGATTCCCCAATATCATACTAGGAATAGCTAGGATTTCCAGAAGAAGATGCCATTCGTTTGATGAGAAATAAAAAGGAATATCAAAAATTCGAGTGGCTGAAGCTGAAGCAGCTACTTTCAAAGTAACAGCAAGAAAAGCAACAACTGGAGAGGGAGAGTCAGTGTCGAAAAGAGGATTCCTCACTTCTTTCTCTCATTCAAAACCGTGCATTAGATTTTTCATCTCGCATGGCTCCTAAGTGATAAAAGAAAGAAGAACTTAATTATTGTTAAGTATATATAATGTGCATTATTGTTAGGTAATAATCCTTTGTCATCTTCCATTTAACATTTTGTGATTGGTAGATGAGGTTTGTTATGGAGGTGTGTACTTGTTAATGGGTGATCACCCATTAAAATTCCTTAATAAGCCACCAAAGTGTTAAACCCACTGGTGGAACTCCTTGAAAGGAAGCTTACAGTGAAAGGGTGCCTGTGTGTTTATATATTGCAATCCCAAATGTACTCAGCAACGTATGACTATGCCAACACTCCCCCTCAGCGCTGGCTGTAGACACCACTTGACTCTTCCTCACCACGCAGGGAAGGAAACATGAACCCAAGCCATCCCTGCAATTCACCCACTTTGATACCATGTTAGACCTATGAGTATAACTTGCTCTTGAAAATCGGCTTGCAAGGAAAGTATATTATGTTTATCTGCTGCACGTCCCAAACTATCCAGGCGATTTTAGCTATTCTAGCACTCTGTCTTAGTGAAAGGGCTGGAGACACTTGGATCTCCCACTCCACATTTGCGAAGATATGAACCCAACCCATCTGGTACATCTGATGTGATTTCAAGGTTGCAGATTATCTATTCTTTTAACTGTAAAGTGTTGTTGAAGTAAACAAAGAAACTTTTAAAAAAAGCTTGTCGTTCTCCAGTAGATTTTTCCATTGAGTAGACATCATTGCCTGATTGCTAGAAGCTGATCTGTGTCATATTGAGTTTTTCTAACTTACTTTGCTTACCGAGTTTCTCCAATTCCACAGGCTTTGGGTGCATTTTTCATGTCTATGGTTTATATCTCTCTATGGAGTATACCTACTGTACAAGGTGAACGTTACACTCTCAAATCCATATATCCAAGAATTAGTTACTCACAAGATCAAAGTTGTATGTAATAGAGGTTATTGGAATTTATAATGTTGCTTCTTGGACCTTAACACTCAGATAAGTTTACGTAACAGGTGACATCCTGCATCATTTCTTCTTCAGGAATATAATGAGATTTTGGCTAAAAGGATTCAACAACTTCTGAACATTAGGCATCAGCCTAATCAGTTTACTGTTCTGGTTCGGGAAATTCCCTTCTGCAGCCAACACAAGTCTCGTGGGTGTTGTGTTGAAAAATTCTTCTCTAAGCATCATCCATGTGCTTATCATTCTTATCAAATTTTGTATGATGGAAAAGAATTTAAGGAGTTGTTGGTAAGGCTTGAATTATTTCAGATCACCTACTCCATGCATTAGGCCACTATGTTTCCATGCCTAGCACTCTGTATGTTTTATGCATTCCTTAGATACTATGACTTATATCATGGGATTGTTTTAGATTTCGTTAAACAAAGAGTAAGAAGGCTAGAGGACAATTTGGGGTGATTATTTGCTTCGTTTTCTTGGCGTCCCTTTTTCTTTCTACTAATTTTTTCTATTTAATAAAAGAATGAAAATTGGAGTGGATTCATTTTCACATATCATGGCCTATTCTGGATGTTTTAGTTATTTCCTTAAGGCTTCTTTGAATCTCATAGGTCATAGATTTGCTTTTGTGAATTAGTATAGTTTTCTTATGATTGTAATTTACTGCACACATTTTGCTTTCTATTATGAATTTTTTTTTCTCTTAACATGATTTTAATAGTAAAATAATTGGTGTTTTTATGTCACCAACCAATAAGTAGAAATTTGTTTCCGTATCTACCCACAGGTTATGAACTCTTACTAATTATGAGAAGCCATGCAGCTTGCCTTCTGACTTGCACCAGTGTTGTCCCTAACTTGACCACCTTAATGAGATCAGTTATGGTGTTTTATCTCAAAAGGCCCTGGTACAATGAGATATCCCACTTTATATTCTCAATGCTGGACAACTACTTATATGATATGGGAGAACTGTCTTTGGTCCCCAATTCCTAACGATCACGAACTTGGTTCAAATCACCATTCCTATCAAATTCCACCTTGGATCAATTTGTGACTGTCTATCATCTTCAAGAACCCACTTCACCTCCCAATTAGGATTTTCTTGAGCTTGCTCCACCTAGAAAAGAATTGTAACCACATCTTGGATTTTATTTGAGCTACCCCACTTAACGGGATATTGAGTTGCTATTGACCATGTGCCGCTTCCACCGGGCAATTGAGTCGCTATCGACCATGCGTCTGCCCCACGTAATGGTAATCATGTGCCATGTGTCGCAGTCAAACCACTGGCTCTGATACCACTTGGGACACATATGATGCTGCCCCTAGATTGTAGCAATATTGTCCCTCACTTAACCATCTTGTGGAGTTTAAATGTCAGGTTTTATCTCAAAGCCCTCAATGCACATTAAGGAGATTTCCCAGTTAATAAACCTAATGTTGGATAGTCACTTATTTGATGTGGAACAGTTTTATTTGATGCACAAATTTTAACACTAACACAAGATGCATAAGATGGGTTGTAAGGAAAACCCAAATTAAGAGTTCATGAGTTGATATTAATAGTCAAACAATGATTTTTGCGATGAGAGAGGTGCTTTGAGTGAATTTGCTCATGGGCATTCACACAAGTTCCACATAGCTCTGGCTCAATGCAATGTGTTTGGCCTTGTGCTTATATTTTTGGTAATATCCTATTGCAGGTACAGCTTATGTTTGTTTTTTCCCATAATTTATATGTAAGAAATGGATTGAAGTATTGATATCAATCAATATTAGCACAAGACATTATCCACTTTTTAATGATTACATATGTGCCTTGTATTATCTCGACACTGGTGCATATTCTCGGTGACGGGATAATTGTTGGATGTTAATGTGGGACTATGATTTGTTGTTAACACTTATAGTTGCTATGGTTTCTCATCCTTCTTTTACTTTTACTGTATTTTATATTTTTTATTGACGTCTGATCCAGATAATCGTATGTGTAGAATCAGGCAAAATCCATTGAAAAAAGGATAGAGAACTTGAGAAAGCGGTCTGTGGTCAAGAAGCATAACCAAACACCTTTGCTTTTGAATCCGTCTAAAGAAGATTCTGTGAAATTATCCTTGTACGAGGAAAAGCTTGAAGAACTTCATCACAAGATACACCAATTACAGTGTGAAGATATGCTCAAAGAAAAGGTAATTATCATTAGAAATCAAAGCCCCAAAATATTCTAAAAATCCATGAATCCCCCCTCTCCCAGCATATGTATGTGTTATGCATCATATTACAGAGTTCTATATTGTCTTGTTGTAGATTTTGTCTGAAGATTATTCTCTAACCAATACTTTCTATATATATCAGTTGCACAATGTGGTCTGTGGCATTTGTCTCCACTTTCTAGTGGCATTCAGGCCTCACATGAATGAGACTTTGTCTTCTTCAAGTTCAGGTCTCATGAACGAGACTTTGCTACCTGTATGGCGTTAGGGAGGGTTATCTTTTACTGTTGAACTCAAAAATTTATCTGAATAAATGAAAAAAGAAGAGGTTCAGCACTCAAATACTATTCATTTTTATAAAACTACCTCCTTTTAAAAATAAGTTCCACTCTCTGTCTCTCTATCACAGACACACACAATCCAATTATAACCATCCCATCACGTTCTTAGTTGTTTTTTCTTTAGAAAACAGAACAAATATAAATAAATGTCACAGGTCATCAGTCTATTGTTATTCCCTTATTAAAAGAAAAGTCTCCCACCATCCCATATCCATTGATTGTATGCTCATTTATATAATTTTATACCATTTCGCTGCTTGTTGAACTATCAAATTTCTATATCAATACTTTTTATAAAGAAACTTCTTTGGTAAAATCAAATAATTCACCATGATTTACGCAACATACATTTATATTTGTAGGAATTGCCCGTTGCTTTTGTTACATTCAAGTCTCGGTTGGGTGCAGCGCTGGTTGCCCAATCTCAGCAGCACTCAAGTCCAGTTCTTTGGATCACTGACGCAGCTCCAGAACCCAGGGTTGTATCATGGAGAAATTTGGCAATTCCACACAGATTTTTGCCACTTTGCAATTTTGGAGTTATTGTTGCAGCCTCTCTTCTTACAATTTTCTTTGCCATCCCAGTCACTGCAGTCCAAGGGATAGCCAAATTTGAGAAACTAAAGAAATGGTTTCCTCCAGCCATGGCTGTACAGTTGATGTAAGACTTATTCTGTTGTTATTTTTATCTTGATTAGTGCTAGTTGAATCATTGAGGTTTGGAATTTAGGCCTGAATCACACTCATCTGACTATTAATTCCCCACCCTCCCTCCCTCACCACTTGGGCTAACCCCAAGGGTTAATAGTAGGAAGTTTGCTGCTGTGTGATGATTCAAAGAAATGCACAAAAGCTATATTCATGCTTTTTTTTTTGTCTATTTTGACTTGTTGCAATTGTCTTTCATTTATTCATCTTACTTGATATCAATTGTATTAATTTGGCAATGTTGATTCGCAAACCACAAGATCCAGATAGACATAAGTCAATGTAGATTGGTACTTCTGTCACTTCATCATTCATCTTACTTGATATCAATTGTATTAATTTGGCAATGTTTATTCACAAACCACAAGATCCAGATAGACATAAGTCAATGTAGATAGACATAAGTCAATGTAGATTGGTACTTCTGTCACTTCATTTTAACTCTCTCTCGGCGTAGTGTTTATGTTTTTTTTACATCATGGATAATTAATGTGTAATCTTCTGTTATTATTCACATGCACAGACCAGGGTTAAGCTCTATTATAACAGGGTATCTTCCAAGTGCCGTTCTGAAAGGGTTCATATACATTGTTCCATTTGCAATGCTTGGAATGGCGAAACTAGCAGGCTGTATCTCAAAGAGCAAGGAGGAAATAAAAGCTTGCAACATGGTTTTTTATTTTCTAGTGGGAAATGTGTTCTTTTGGAGCTTGTTATCTGGATCCTTAATAGATGAAATTGGGGAATCTTTTACTCATCCAAAAGATTTCCCTAGTCACCTTGCAAGTGCTGTCTCTGCTCAAGTGAGTTCGTCTCATGTATTTATACTTTAGGCATATTCTGTTGATAAACTGTTTTAGTTCACACTCGTCATAACTTATAAAGGATTTTAGTGTCTGTTTTTATATTAAAAAATTACTAGATGAGAGACCAAACATGGTTTTGCAATATTTTTGTTAACCTTATTTTCTTTACTTATTGTTGCATGTATTTCAAATAGTTGTAGATTTTGAGAACAATTGTTGCGCAGTTCTTTTTTCTCATCTTTATTGTCTGTAAGTTTTGTCCTTTTTTCTAATACTTGTTTTATCTATTAATGTTTCAGGCAGATTTCTTTGTGACATATATTTTGACAGATGGGCTGTCAGGGTTTTCTTTGGAGATCCTCCAACCAGGATTACTTTGTTGGGATGCTATAAAGTCCTGTACATATGGCCGTGGAAAAGAGAAAACCCCGTATCTTTACTCGTTACCTTACTACAGAATCATTCCTTTGGTCTCACTGTCTGTGCTGATTGGTATAGTGTATGCTGTTGTCGCACCTCTTCTGCTTCCCTTTCTGATTGGTTACTTCTTGCTTGGCTATGCTGTGTTTATAAATCAGGTTGATCTTTTCAACTTTGCGTTTATTATCCAAGTTTATTATTATTGTTACTATAGTATGACATTCTTTTGGCCCCTTTTTTGATATGTCCCTTTTTTCTCATACGTTAAACATGCATGACCTAAAAGAAATATAAGAGAAAAATAATGAGACCAAGATTTTCATTTTCTTTCCCTCTTTTGCTTGTTTTGTCTATAACTTTATTTCTTTGACACAGGGTTGAAAAGCATATTTGTTTCTTTTATTTTTCCTATAATTAGAAGTCTGATTTAAATAAGAGCTACATTGATCCACTACATAATCAGACCTTTTTAAGTTGTTAGGGGATGGGCCAAGAATATCTATCAACGTTACAGTAGTTATTCTCTGGAAACTGATGTCTAACTGTCATAATTTGTGTACAAATTTTATAGGTCTTCCTTAGAAGTATGTTTGTTCTGGCTGAATGATCTGAAAATCATTTGTCTCACATAGAGTTGAGAGTTAACACTTTCCGAATATGGATGTCACGATCTGATATGTGGCCTACTTGGTCTGACTCTAACCTCAAATAGTGAATTGCTTAAAATTATTTTACACCTGAGCAGCATTTTATTTTATGCACTTTGATCTCAAGTACAAGTGTTAA